TGGTCAGAGGTTTGGCGATTCTCGTGGCTGCCACTCTCCCACGACATCTGGTCGATGAGTTTGTCGTCGTCGGCGTCGTTGCCTGCGTATCTACTCAGCCAGTCGTCGGCGTCGTTGCCTGCGTACCTACTCAGCCAGTCCGCGATATGATTGCGCTCTCCCGAAAGAAACTCAATCGTGGGTCATAGTTACTGAAGGCGAGTGCCCACCTGAAGACTTTGCCGGTGTCGACGTTTGTTAGGTAGCGGAGATTGTTGTGGTCCGTGCGCACGACGAAGTGCGCCAAGCTGACATAGTCGCGCCACTTCTCTATCGCCCACTTAACTGCGAACAGCTCCCTCTCTCGCGTGTCCCAGCGTCGCTCCGTGGGGTTGAACTTCCGACTAGCAAACTCTAACGGCACTTCTACGTCACCTTGACACTGCTTTAGTAGAGCTCCTACTCCCAGTTCGGAGGCGTCCGTCTCGATTATGTAGGTTCCTGTGGGGGTCGGTGCGTGCAGAATGACCGTGTTCTGTACTGCTTCTTTCAGGGCCTCGAAGGCACGTTCGTGCGCTGGCTGCCACTTCAACTCGGCGCCCTTCTTCAAGAGGTCGAACAACGGTGCCGTCGTGTCCGAGTAGCGACAGATGAACGGCCGCAGGTAACCACACATGCCCAGGAAGCTCTGGAGACCGCGTCTGCTCTCTGGTCTCCGTGCTGCTACGATAGTTTGGGTCTTCTTCTCTTGGACCTTGATACCATCCGTGCCGACCACGTGTCCTAAGTACTTCACCTGGTGCTTAAACCACTTGCTTTTGTCGAGCCGCTGGTAGAACCCGGTCTTCCTGCATTGCTTCGGGAAGAGCTCCACTTTCGCGAGCACGCTCTCGAAGTCGTCGCCGCAAATGACGATATCGTCGATGTAGCAAAACGCATCGTCGCCGAGTAAGGGCTCGAAACAAGCATCCATGGCCCGCTGGATTTCAGCAGGTGAGTTCTTTACCCCGAATGGGATGACGTTGAATTCGAATAGCCCGATCGGAGTTATGAATGCCGTCAACGGCTTACTCCCCTCCTCGATCGGGACATTCCAGAATCCGCTGTTCATATCCAACGTGCAGTAGTACTTCTTTCCGGCTGCACGGCGTAGGTGGTCCCAGATGCGCGGTAGTGGGTAGGAGTCTGCCACCATCGACGCATTCAGCCGCCTGTAGTCTATAACGCACCTCCATTCTCCCGTTTTCTTCTTGACAAAGTGTGGAGCCGCGGCCCACTCACTCTTCGAAGGTCTTACGACTCCTAACTCGAGCTGCTTCTTAACCTGCTTCTCGAGTTCCTCACGCATTTCCGGCGCGTAGTGCCGTACTCTCGCCTTGAAAGGCCTGCCATG